ACCACCAGCTCCCTGGGCATCAACAGAGTGGCCAACGGCTCCCCCGTCTGCCTGGAAGCCTGGGACCCTGCGTCTGCTGGCCCTGCCCGCCTCAGTCTCTCCCTCCTGCTCTTCTTTGTGCCCCTGATCATCACCGCGTTCTCTTACGTGGGCTGCCTCCGGGCCCTGGCCCACTCAGGCCTGAGCCACAGGCGGAAGGTCAGGGCAGCCTGGGTGGCCGGTGGGGCCCTGCTCACGCTGCTGCTCTGCTTGGGGCCCTACAACGCCTCCAACGTGGCCGGCTTCCTGCGCCCCGACATGGGGGCCCAGTGGCGAAAACTGGGGCTCATCACAGGGGCCTGGAGTGTGGTGCTCAATCCATTGGTGACTGGCTACCTGGGAGCAGGTCCTGGCCGCGGGACGGTGTGTGTGGCAAGAATGCAAGGAGGAACATTCCAGAAATAGCAGCTTCTGCTGGGAGAAAGGGGCTTCTCCAGGCTCCATGTCGGGGCTGCCCCATCAGAACTGCAGGGCAGCCTTGCCCGGAGCCATCCTCGTGGCCACCTGTGGGAAGAGCTAAGTCTGGAGAGGACAACTCCCCGTCCAGAGAGAGGAGTGGAGGCCAGGGGCTGGCACCTCCACACGTCAGCTTGCCTCCTGCCTCTGCCCACCCCTTGCGTCCTTCCTGCCCACTAGGAGGATGACGTCTGGCTTCTAATCCAGAGGAACACCACCGTGCAATGCTACCCTGCAGTCATTTGTGAGGAAAGAACATTTTAATTTCTAAAGAAGAGATGGAGGCACTAGCCAAGATAACGAGGCTGCCATACCACTTGGAACTCACAAGGGGGCAGCATTTGCGCTGTGAATGAGAAGCTGGCCCAGGTCAGCCACCATGCCCAGTTCTTTATAATGAGCGTTGTCTCATTCTATCCTCACACAACCCTCCCACTCCCTTTATTTTTTTAAGAGGCAGGGTCTGCTCTGTTGCCCAGGCTGGCCTTGAACTCTGTCCTTGAACTCTGGTGCTCAACCGATCCTCCTGTCTCAGCCTCCCAAGAAGCTGGGATGGAGGTATATGCCACGGTGTCCAGATCACACAACCCTTGGATTTAGCCAGGTGACTGCAGCACGGATGGGCAGGCTGTTCATTGCACAGGGGCGTCAGGCAGAGGGGACACACACTGACTACTAACCTGTGCTGGGCTCACTAAGCCGTGTGCCTGCCTTGCTTCCAACCAAGGGAAGGAGCCTCTCACTTTAATTTCAACAAAGACACCACCCGCTCCTCCAGTAGCGCCCCTTGGTGCAGGGTGGCACTCCCCCAAAAGGGTGCCTTATCCTCTTTGCTCAGAAGGCCTGCATGGGGTAGCCTCTGTCCTGGGGCCAGGTGTATCACATCTTCATTTTGTGGGGTTAACAAA